TCCCTCCCTGGTCTTGAGAAAAAGATAGACAGTGCTCACAAAGGATTGAGTCTGGGGCCAGAAAAAGGCTTTAAGAACAACCTACAGGAAGGCAGAGGGAGGAGGGAGGCCTGACCCTGCAGAATGCCTGTGAGCTGGTGGAAAGGACACAAAACACATGTGTGCTGCCAGGGCTGAAGCTGCTGGGCAGCCTTCAGAGGTTCTGCAGGTGGAGCCATGTGTGACTCAGCGTAAATCTCCCCAGGCCTGCGGCTCTGCTGACTGAGCTATCTCACCATGGGGCCACTTTGAAATGTCACAGTGACCTAGTGCTCTCTCCCTCTCTCATCAGGCCTTCTTCCCTGATTGCTCAAGGGTTGGAACATATGAGTAGTGTTCATACCTTAAGCTGGCTCCCTGGCTCTATGTGGGTGGCAATGGTGTACACAGTAGTTATGCGTGTGTTGGGGGTGGTGATGGGAGAAGAGCATTTTCAGGAGAGTTGAGCAAGTGTGGGTTTTCCCCTCCTTTAATGCCCAGGGCCACAGGACTGTCTGGACTTGCTTTACAATGCCACCTGCCCTGTTCAACCTCAAACCTTTATCTCTTGTATTTTCTATGTTCCATTTATACTCCACTCATCCTTTGGCTTCTCTGCTAGGGTTCATGATGATTCCAGTTTTTATTGGCTAGCACACCAAGCCCAGGAGGCTCCTTCAGGGTCTTCCAATTAACCTGTGTCCATGATCTCTACCACCCCAGGCTAGCTCCTTGCTTCACAGTCTGAAACCCAGCCCTGGGAGGAAGGAGGAAAGGACCCAGTACATGGCTGTCAAGCTGCAGACAGAGTGAAGCAGAGTCAATGCTGAGTGGGCGGTTTTCAGCTGGTTCTAGTAGGGATGGTTCAGCTGCTGGTTTCAGAATGGCATTCTCAATTCACACAGGCAACCAGGGATTGGCTGGGTGGAAGATCAAGCCACCAGTGAAAACTAAGCACTCACTGTGTATCTAATAGAAGACAATAGTGAAAGTGGGCACGCATCTGTAAGGCAGCACTCAGAAAGTGCAAGTGGGATCAAGAGTTTAAGGTTAGCTTCTATAATGAGTCAGTCTGGGCTATAGGAGATCCCAAACAGACAAACAACAAAAATCCACATTAAAAAACAAAACAAAATAAAATAAAAAAGCAGAGGATGGCCTCTAATCTCTAAGACCATGGCTACCTAGATAGCGTGTAGGGAAGGAAATGACAGAAGAAAAGAAAAACCAGGGTTATTTGGGATGATACAATGACCAGCTCTCAGGAGTCTGGAGGAGAGAGGTGCTGGGGTTTAATGAGCTACCACCAAATATACACTCATGGCAGAAGGTGAAATCTTATGTGATTCCTGGTGGATCAGGAGCCTAAAGGGGGGTTAGATCAGAAACAGAGCTCCAAAGGGTAGGATAAAGGTGGCCATATTTGTCTGTTTATATTTCTCTATCCTTTCTTCCCTAGATCTTTTTATTTTTTTAAATTTTTGAAAAAATTTTTTAATAGGGCTTCACTGTATAACCATGGCTGGTTAGAAATTGCTTTGTGTATCAGGCTGGCCTGCCTCTGCCTCCTAAGTGCTAGAATTAAAGGCACCCCTCCCACCTCTTCTTCCTCCCTTTCTTCCTTCTCCTCTTTCTTTTATTTTAATTTTAGGTGTATGAGTGTTTGGCCTGCATATATGTGTCTGTGCACTTTGTCTCCACTTTGTGGAGGCAAGGAGAGGGTACTAAGGAACTTGGAACTGAAGTTACAGATGGTTGTGGGCTGCCATATGGGTTCTGGGAAGAGATCCAGGTCCTCCGGAAGAATCAGTGCTCCTGACCATCTTTACCAGCACCCTGAGTTTTTTTCTTTGGGCCTTCCAGAATCATTAACTAATTCCTACTACAAATCTACTCATAAGCCAGCCATGTGTGAGACATGAGGAGGTGCTGTGGTGTGAGAGAGTAGACTTGTCCCTTCTAGAAGTTCCAGCTGATGTCAGATGAACCAATGGCCAGCCGTGTGAAGGAGTGGGCTCCCAATAGTTGAACTGTGTTGTGAAAAGATCAGGCTAGAGCCTGGACACTTCATTTTGTTTCCACTGAATGTAACTGTCCCACCCTGTCCTACTGTTTTTATTGTTAAAAGAACATTTTGTCCCATACCACAATGCCTTGTGGCTTTTGTATCCTTCCCAGTTCCTGGTGGTCCACAGGAACTATGTAGACTATGTATCAGTACCAGAGGCACAGGCACAAATCTCTCTTGGATGCTTTGAAACCCTGAATTCATCCTATGTTTTTCTCCTCTCCACTTCCTAAAGCAGCAGCCTTCAATTCTTTTGAGTTCCCCAGATCTCGAAAATCATTCCTCTTCTATCTACCATCAGCACCAGTGACATTTAGTGAGAAATGTCTGTGCTAATTGCCCTCATTCATCTCCAGTCTTGACCCATCTCACATAGTTCTCTAACATGTACCTGGTAACAGCACTCTGTTTAAAACTTCCTTCAGACACAATTGCCACCATACTGCTCCAAGCCATTCCTGCCTTTCTAGGCTGCTCTTCTGCTCTTCTCTTGCCCCTCTGAGCCTGGCTTTGACTATGGATGTCCATTGCAACTCCCCACCAGCTTCTAGGACCCTTCAACTCCAGGGCTGGACTACAGTTTTTTCTTCTGTATCAAATGTTCTGTTCCCATTTGTGCTCCATTTATCACTTTCTTTGGACTACTGTGTTCTCAAGACCCTTGCGAGACGTTATAGTAAGAATTTCCTCTAGTTCTGAAGCAAACCCTCAATGGATGGTATGAAGGAAAAGGTCTTCCGTTGGCATGCAGCTCACATTTACTAGCAAGAGGCACAGACAGCTCCTGTTTTTTTTTTTTCTTTTCTTAGAGGAAAAGTTGGAAATAATATATATAACTTGTTATATATATATATAAAATATATATAAATATAGATATATGAATCAATCAATCTATCTATCTATCTACCTATCTCTTATCTATAGAAAGAGACTGGGTTTCTAGCCCAGCTTGGCCTTGAACTAGAACTCCCTATTTTACACGATGAACTTGAACTTCTGATCCTTCTACCTCTACCTCCTGAGTACTGGGATTTCAGGTATGTGCCACTAGGCCTGGTTTATATGGTGTTAGTAAGCAAACCCAGGGCTTATGTATACTATGCAAGCATTCTAACAACTGATCTGTATCCACATCTTGAATTTGACTCTTTTGGATACACGCATTCATTCAAAATGAGTTTTTAAAGAAAGATGTGGCAAGACATTGTAATCTAAGGAAAAGAAGTCACCATAAGAACTGAATTCATTCATTATCTCCAGTCAAATTTTGGTAACTCAGTCTGGTCAAAAAATGATCTTGAAGTTCTGATCCTGCTGCCTCCATCTCCCAAGTGTTGACATTACAAACATGCACCATCATGTCTGGTTTATGGTAGGGATGGAACCAGGACTTTGTGGATTTTTTGGATGCTAGGTAAACACTTTACCATCTGAGACACAATTCCTGCCTGCTTGCCTTCCTTCTTTCCTTCCTTCCTTCCTTCCTTCCTTCCTTCCTTCCTTCCTTCCTTCCTTCCTTCCTTCCTTCCTTCCCTCTCTCTCTTTCTTTCTCCCCATCTCCTCTCTCCCTCCTTTCCCTTGCCCCCTTCTTCCCTCATGACCGAGTTCAATCCCCAGGACCCACAGTGGAAGGAGAACCAACTCCTGCAAATTATCCTCTGGTCTTCATACATTCTGCCTATCCCTGCCATACACAGCATACATAAAATAAACACATGTTAATTAAAAAAAGAAAGAAAAGCTGCCATGGGAAATGGAATGAGTCATAGGGATCACCCATATGGAAGCAGTCTGCGGGTCAGTACCTGGTGTGCAGAGCACCACACACCACTCACTGCTTCCTCTTTGGTGTTTCACTGAAGGGCTAGGTTGCTCCTGGCTAGTAGCATCACTGCAAGACTGTGCAAAAACTAGCTTCTTCCCTACACGCAGAAGAATGCACACACACACACAGTATGGCTGAGATTTCATATCTCCATAAGCTTGAATATTCCAGGAACCCTCCAGAGGATAGGCCAGTGTCTTGCTTCAAAGAGCCGCTTTTACCCAAGGGGTGCAGCTATAAATCCTAGATAGCTCTGTCCCCTCCTGTTCAGCCATACATTATGGGAACTTCTCTGCACAGCTGTGACTCCCTGTTTCAGAATGGCATTCATGCTTATCATCAGGATGACTGGCCCAGAAACCTTGCAACCCAGGGCTAAGTATGCACATCCATAAAAGAAGTCACTGTCCCAGATGGTCAGCTTATCCAGAAGTGAGTCACCTTGCTTCCATTCTAACTTGCTTCCCATCCCTTGCGGCCAGCAGCACATGCCCTACCCTCAGGAGGAGTTCCTTCGCTTCCGTAGCACTGAGCTGACCCTGGGGCCAGGGCTGCAATGGCTGTATGGTTAATGAGTTTAGCATTACCCCAGACCTCTTTCTTTGTACCTCGCTCCTGTTTCTTAGGCTAAATAAGGAACAAAGGCAAAACTTAACTTACACATATAAAAACTCATGTAAGAGCAAAATTGATGGGTCTGTGATTTCTGGCATAGGTAACCATATAGATAATCAAGATTTGGCCTTATTTAAAACAAATGACAATCCAACCAAGAAAGGAAACCGTACATTAAATTTCTATCTTTGAAAACAACTTTTGTCTAGGAGTTTCTACGTAGAGTCCACAGAATAAAGCTGGCAGATCAAATTTGGGAAGTGAGCTGTGCATTAAGTTTTTAGAATATAACTAGTCCCATTTATTTGCCTATGGTTCAGGCAAATTTCAAATTCATCACAACGGTAAAGGCTGAGGAAAAGACTGAATGCTTAAGCAAAACTTAAAATACTCACTCTACAGCATCTTACAGGTAAGTTTGCCAATCCTGGTCCTGGAGCAATAAAGTATGTCACAAGGTCAAGAACAAGGTACCTGTTGACTGGCAAGTGTTTCCTTGTGACATGGCTGTTGTCACGATTTCTGTGGCTGCCTCTCTGACGGTTTGTTCCTCACTTTGTAGAAGGGTAAGGACACACCTCCAGAGAGAAAGTGTGTCCTGCAATTCTGTGAAGAAAATCAAAGCGAATTTATGTCATTCGTCTACATGCCAACAAGCATGCAGTAATGCTGCTTTTAGCCTTACAGGGGAGGAGAACATTCATGAAGAAGCAACAGCCATTCTTTTTTGGGAGGAGGTTGTTGTACAATAGGAAGCCTGAGAATCAGAACAACAGAGAAACAGAGAGGGCCCTGCTGGGGAGGCTTGGAGACATCTTTTCTGTGGAAGGAGGAAGGCCTTCTGCAGTCAACTAGCCTTAGGCAAGGTTTCCAGAAGGTGATGACTGGCTTACAAGGCTCTGGCAACTCTCTCCAGTGGCATGATTTATGCAATTAGAATCTTTTTCATGTCTTTAATCCCAGCACTCAGATGGCAGGTAGGTCTCTGTGAGCTCAAGGCCAGCTTGGTTTACATATAGAGTTCCAGGATAGCCAGGGATACATAATGAGACCCTGTATCAGGGAAAAAACAAAAACAAAAACAAACAAACAAAAAAGGATGGTAGCACATACTAGTAATCCCAGTCTTGGCTACGTAGTGAATTCAAGGCCAGCTTGAGCTACACGGTGAAACCTTGTCTCAAAAAAACCAAAGAGTGCTTTGCAGAAACTAGTTTAGTGTTGATTTGAGAGACTGTGAGAACCTACCAATTCTGGAAAGCAAAATATTAATCAGGATGTTTGGGGCAAGGATCAAACATGGGGAAGGCTCAAGATAAAGGGCATCCTTTGTCATATGTCTCTAGGTCCTATTTTCTGTTACCGTGGGCCCTTAGCACTGAATCTGCTGGTTACCATACGGTGCTGTGGGAACAAACAGAAAGGCAGAATGTGCTCTGGGCAGCTCAAGGCCACGAGATCTTGAATATAGGTAATGAGCAGTCAACATGAAGGTGGGTGGCTGCAGGAAGACATTAGAATGGGCCATAGGAACTGATTTTAGGAGGAGAGAGAGGTGGCAGGCAGTGAGTGCAGGCCTGCGAAGGGTCTCATACAGGGCAATGGCGGAACACCACCCAGCATACCTCAGTCAGAGCTGAGGCCACTGCCTTGGCCAACAGTACCATTTGCTATAGCTCTCTTCTATCTCTCTGATCAGCCTTTAAGTCTTTCTCCTGCTTACAGACTCAGCACTTTTTTTTTTTCTTTTTTAAAGAGGTTTCTAACAGTCCAGGCTGGCCTCAGATTCACTATGTAACCCTAAATGGCCTTGAACTCCTGTAGTCATCCTGCTCCCATCTCTCAGAGGCTGTGATTCCAGGTATGTTCTACCAAAGAATCCATCTTGAGTGTTCTCAGTCACAAGGTCTTTTGAAGCTTTAAAATTCCTCTCCTTAAGTCCATTCCCATCTGCCCTCATGTCTCCGGCTGGCAGCAGTTCTTCACATGCAGGGGGCCATCAGCCACCACTAATCTCCTTCCTTGTTTCCATTATGCCATCTCTAGCACCAGCAGCTAACACAAACCAAGTCTCAATTCCACACACGAATTTTACGTTATTTTACACAAATTTACTTGTTTGAGTGACAGAGTAACAAAAGTTCAGAAAAAAATGTGCTGAAAATGTACTGAAAATGCCTGACACAAAAGAAAAACAAAATGCCTTTGAGAGAGGGTTTCACTATGCCGCTTCAGCCTCTCAAGTAGCTAGGACTGCAGGCACAAACCACCAGGCCTGATCTAATCAAGTTTATTAGCCTTTTCGCCTGTTGCTCTGGGTTCAGTGATTAAGTCAGAACCACAGGAGGGTCGCTGATGGTATCACTTAGAAGGAAGAAGAAAAGAACAGCAAGGAACACTGCTTCCAAACAGAGGCTGCACGGGCAGCACTTCCTCGGTCCTCACCCTGCTCATGCTCACATCACAGCATCACCACCTATAAAGTGACTCTTTCCTATCTGGAAATCTGTCTCCACAGCAATACCGAAGGCTCCTTGGGGGGCTTGCCCCTTCCTGATTCTTGAGGGCCAAGTGTGAACACAGTAAAGAGAAATGGAAAGTGACTAGTTGACAGGAAGTGAGCACCTGGTAGTAATGAGTCCACATGCAGAAGAGGACAGGCTGTGCTGGAGACCGGCTCTGTGTCCCTGCTTTTCCTTTAACTAACCCCTATGTTTATAAATCAATACGAACCCCAGAGCAACACAATAAAAAATTCAACAAACTCCCCTGTGCTTTCCAACTCCTAAGGCTTTCCTCAGACTGTGCTCTTCAGCATTGCTGGCACCAAGCTTTTCCTAGCTCCTGCTCTCTAGGCATGTGAGTGGCAGTGAGGAGAGGAACCCAGATCAGAAGCCAGTTCAGAGCTGCACAACCACCTGAGTTTGAAATAGTGCCTCTTATATCCCAGCACTGATTTCAAATTAAGTTCAGTAGCAAAGGGCACCAGCAGCCCAGAAGGGACTTTAAAGAGAAGCCTGGAAGTCAGCCTCAGCACCACAGAATCCTGGGGAGCACTTCCTAGAAGAGGCAGTTTTGCAAGGCAAACAAGTCAATCAAGCAGGGGTTTGTTCCTAGAGAGCTGGTCCCTACTGATGACAAACAGGCCTGAGGAAAGGGAGGCGGATGATGAAGCAGTAGAGTGGGCCAGGGGTGAAACAGAAAAACAGAAAGGGCCTAGTGAGCTATGTTAAAGGATGTGAAGATCTAGCCTGGAGACAGTGGGAACCCGCTCAAAGCTCTTCAGTAGACTAGCATGGTGGTATACACTGAAAATCCCAGCACTTCGGAGGCTGAGACAGCAGGAATTTCTTATGCTGGAGGTTCTCCTGGGCTACCTAGTGATACTGTTTCAAATGAAGGGTTTTAATAATGGCCTATCAAAAGAGTTAAATTTACAGAGAGGAAAGACCGCAAAGCTTATAGGTGCTCTGAAAAAATGTATGTAGAATGTTGGGTGATAAGACTGAAGGAAAAGAAGAAAAGCAGCTGTTGGTAAGAAACAATCAGAATATTAATCAAGAGGACAAAATATCCTAGAAACATGCCATCTCTGTGTAGCGCTGGCTGCCCTGCAACTTCTCTGGAGACCAGGCTGGCCTTGAACTCGCAGAGATCTGCCTGCCTCTGCCACCTGAGTGCTGGGATTAAAGTGGTGTGCTACCACCACTCAGCTAACCGTCCCTTCTTTAGCCCAGAATATCTGTCTCTCCCTGTGTTAGCTGAGCTGGCTGCAGTGGGCACCCCGCTCAGCACACTTACCAAGAATGGGCTGGGGATGAGTGAGGAACAGGGGCGCGGTGCTCGTGAGGACTTCAGCAGCAGCCAATCTAGATGCAGTAGGAAGATGCTCTCCACAGGACCAGACAACCAGCTGGACCCACTGCCTCAGCTCAGGAGCCATGGAAGCCTTGTTCTAAGAACAAAACAGGAGCCTATCAGTGATCTCCACCATGCTCCCATGGGCAAGAGGGGGGAAGAGCTCCAGCCCGCTGTACCTGCAGCCTCAGAAAGCAGCAGCTCCCTAGTGCTCACTTGGAACAAAGTCCCACTGTTTTCAGTAATGAGCTTTATTGGTACATAATGCATGTTTTTCTTTTAAAACTAACCGACACCTAAGACTGAGCATGCCTGTGGCACACCCATGATGCTCTGACTTGTATGTGCTTTGTGTGATGTCTGGGTCAGAGTAATCCCATGCGCTGGTATTATAGGTGTACACCACCACACCTGGCAGATTAAGGTTTCTAAGCCCATTCCTTTTCCTGGTCAAATAATATTCTATTCTGAGTTTTGGCTTTTTTTTTTTAGCTTTTATACTCATTTCTTATTCTTCTTAGAAATTACATCCTGGTTCAGTTTGAAGGCTGAATTTAAACTGTTGCTATGACTTCTGCTACGACTACTGCTATGGCCCTATGAGAGATGATGAGAGTGAGACCCTTATGACATTAATGAATAAATGCCATTATCTCCAGGCTGGGCTAATCATGACAGGAGTAGCTTTGCTTTACAAGTGAATTCTCTTGTCTGTCTGTTTGCTTCCTTTCTTCATGCTTTCCCATCACATGCCACACTCTGCCATGTCTGCAGTGTTATTAGGCAGTGAAAAGGCCATTTCTGGGAACCTCAGAACTGGGAAAAAAAAGATGCCTTTTGCTCATGAAGTCTGCCATCAGAGAACCAGAGAGGAGAACTCCAAGACACATCACCAAGGAGCTGTTCCTAATCAACCATACCACAGGACTTATTCCTTCAATTGCTCTGGGGCAGTGGCTCTACGGGTCTAAACCCAGCAGCTGAGGCCCAAGCACAGCTCCCTCTCCAGAGCTGCATTAATGTGTTTTTCCACGTTGTTCTACCATTCTGTGGATTTTCTTCTCCCTAGAAAATGTTTCCAGTTTTATGGAATAATACTTCCTTCATGCGTGAAGAGCAGCTGTAGTCTGTGGCAGACTTGCTTCTGCTGTCTCCACTGCTGCCTTAGAACTTGGGGTTTGTTGTGTTTGCCTGTAGCTCACTGTGGTCCTGAGGCCTCAGCCTCAGAAGTGCTGGCCTTACAGGGGTAGGCTTTTTGTCTTGTTCTGGAGCTGGGGCAGGAACCTTGTGCATGCTAGGCAAGTCATACTACTGAGCTACTGCCCCAGACCTGTTTATCCTTTAAGCAAATCGTGTCTTTCCATATTTCACTTGACCTTCCAAACACTGTTTTCTTCTTCTTTCTTTATTTTTAAAACTGTCATATCTCTTAGTGGCCTGTGACCTAGGTTTGGTCCTCGGTCACACCTTCAAATGACGGACTCAAGGAATCTGCCTCCTTGCTTGCTAATGCTACCCTGGGGTTTTACCCTGACCCAGCCTTGGGAAATCTGAGCTTAAACAACCCCCTCTCTTAAATCCTCCTCAGCTCCCAAGTACTCCTTCCTTCCCTTGGGTTCCCAGAGTCCCACTATTCACAGTAGTGACCCAGCACTCTTTCTGTCATTAGCCTGCACTGTAGGCTGTACAGCTGATTCTCAGTATCTCTTGGTGCTAGCTTCACTGTGATCATGCAGATCCACCAGCACAGTGATGAAAGGGTACTCAGACTGCTCATACTTACTGTCTACTCACTGCCTTGAGATGGTGCTGTCTTTCTTTTTTAAACAAATTAAATATGTTCTTTATAATTTTACAGAAGTATATAATGCACTATTCATCCTCCTTTTTCTTATCTCCTTCTGTCTCCTGTCCCTTCCCTTCTTCCCTATTCCTCTCCCACACCTGTGCTTCGTTTTCTTTGTGTTCCCCTGGGTTTGACCAGGACCATCTGTGTGGTTTTGGTACTGAAACTGGAGACTGGTGGGTTCACTAGAGGTTGCACAATTTAAAATGCCTCTGCTCTCTCACAGTCCATTGGTAGCCTATGATTCAAGGGATAGAGTCCCTCCCCTCCCCATGACTAACTTCTGGGACAACCTGCCTTGTGCAGGTCTATACAAATAAACAAAGCTACTGTAGGTTGTGACTACACTGATGTGTTTTGTCTAGAGGATGGGATTTCATTGCCTTCTCCCTGTCTTTCTGTCCCCTCTTCCACAATGTTTGCTGAGCCTTGGTACTATGCCTCTTGTAAACATACGAGGTATGTATGTATTTGTCTCATAGTGTGTTTCCAGGAGGCTGTTTTGCTTACTATGGTTCCACTTCACCTTCACTGGGCAAGTGGAATAGGCAGAGCACATGTGAGACCTGGCTCAGATACAGCTCAACCACATGCAGGCAGAGCATCTCAACCTTACAATATATCATCAGACTTGGCTCACAAAGTTGTTATCCAAAGTATATTTGGCAGTGACTTGTTTAGTCCTCTTGAAATAAGTCTAGCTTTAGAAATGGTGAGAAAGCAATGGGACATGTCTATGTTGGGGAACTGTCACTCCAGGCTCTAGTCAAAAATGGCAAGAACAAAAGAGAAGAGAGCACATGTTCAGAGTCTTCACAAATATTCCCAAAGTAAACCTTCAGCACAAGCCAACACTTCTGTGGATTCATTGTGATTCTGCCTGCTGGGACAGTTCTTTGACCAATACTCTCTGGGTAAAAACCCAGGCCTCAGGACAGGTACAGAACCAGCCTCACCTCCTCACATGTCTTCACACGGTAGGTGATTACTTTGGAGGCAAGCTTCAGAGCTACACCCTGGATTTCAGATCTGGAAAATAAAGGAAAATTAATACACACACACATACAGTAAAAAATGTACAACAATTACCACATACAAGTCAAGCCAAACATCTGAGATGAGACAGGTCTAGCCTCAAAACCACTGTGTAGGCAAGGCTGACCTTGAAATTCTGATCCTCCAATCTCTACCTCTTTTGTGCTGGGATTAGAGGTATGTGCTACCACACCGGCTTTTGTGGTGCTAGGGATCAAGCCCAGGGCTTTGCTGATGCTAACAAGCACTGAGCTATAGCCCCAGGCCCAAAGTGAACATATGTTATGCACAAATGTTGATACGGATAGTCTATAACCTTTATTCCTGATCAGACAACTGCTCATATTTTTAGTTACAAGTTTGGTCACGAGTGTGAAAACCTGGCTCTCTTCTATTACTGGAGTTTAGAACACAGCTTCTAGGCTGAGGCTTAGAAAGAAACTCATTATCTGGGCCCTTAGGTGGGGACAGTGTGCAGCAGGCTTCCTGCATGAAGACTGAAGGGGCGAATACAGCTCACCGAAACTGCACATAAGTCTGGGGGGCAAACCTGTCATTGGAAGCAATATCCAAAGTCCAGATCAGGAACTCCTTTGGGGAGAGCTGAACACAGCGTTCTGTGTGTGGGAGCCATTCACTGGGGTTCATATGAGAGAGAATCTTCAGGACCTGTGAGTCAAATCCAAGAAAGCAAGATAAAGAAACACACAGGGAAAAGTCTTGTCTCTTAAATCAAGACTGCTTATAACAATGAGGGGCCAGATTCTACTGTCTTCTTATTTCCTCTCTGACACCTATGAGAAACTGAGGCAGGGCAGAACAATGACAAGCTTGAGGGTCCTTGGTGACCTGACACCAGAGCTAGACTGAACCAGATTCCTTTGCCTTTTTTTTTTTTTTTTTGCTTCTTGATTTTGCGACAGGGTCTCACGATGTACCCAGGCTATCTTTGACCTCACTCTGTAGCTCAGCTAGGCCCCAGCCTCCTAAATTTCTGGAATTTTAGGCCTGGAAATCTCCCTTTCATTTTGACTAGTCTTCCCAGGTAGCCATCTGTCTGTAAACAGACACATCAGTAAAGAACCTCTGAGATGTGTTGTAGCTGATGAGGCCAGAGGTGGCATCAGCTGTTTCCCTGCTCATTCTCCATGGTCTCTCACTGCACTTGGAGCTCACTGGCTTGGCTAGTCTAGCTAGCCAGCTTTCCCCAGGGATCCCATCTTCATCCCGAGTGTGGGCATTACAGGTGGGCTGTCATACCTGACATTTACATGGCTGCTACAGATATGAACTCTGGTCCTCATGCTTGTGTAGCAAGCACTAACCATGGTGCTCTCTCTCCACCCCCATAGCTAGCTTTCAATGATCTTTCCTAAAGACAGTGGCTTGACCTATTACTGATAGGTCAAGCAGTACCACTGGCATCTTAGGTTCTTCTGTACATAATCCAAGCAGTGTACAGGGCCCTGGTCTTTGGTATGCTAAGCTGTTGCCCCCAGATAGCACAAGCCTGACTTGCTTTCCTCTCTATCTTCCTGGTGTTTCCAGAAGAATGTGGGACACAGAGGGGCATCAGTGCAATGGAGACCCTACCCTGTAGAAACAGCCTGGATGGTTTTCCTTCATCGTCAGCAGCAAGAACTCCTCTCTCATACTATATAGCAAGGGAAGTGGTCCCTTCTCTCCCAGTTCAGAGGATGCTGCCCTTTCCAGCAGGGTATCCAGGGTTAGCAAGCGCACTTCAGAAAAGGAGGACTCCAGAAGCCGGGAGAAGGAGAGAGGAACAGCAATCGCCTGCCCTTCAGCTTCAGCCAGCGATGCCCACACTTCAGGGATGGCTAGCTTGGTAAGGCTCTGAAGGTACTGGGGCAGGCCTGGCACCTTGAAGGTCCAGGGGAAACCTGTAACCAGCTCTGATCCCAAGATAATTCTTCTCACATCTTCCCAGAGGCCAAGACTCTGCAGAGCTAGAAACAAAAAGAGTAGAGAAAGAAGTAATTTTCGTGTTATACAGGAGAATGGGAAACATCACAGAAAATGAACTTCTGCACCTCTTCTGGACACTCAATAAATGCAAATCCAGTGACCTGATCTGGAAAGCCTCAGGAAGTACCCAAAGGAAAAGTACAAACTTTATGCAGCAATCTGTAAAGCACCAGAGGCTCTGGGCTGGATCCTGTCCTTACCTGAAGCTCACAAGATAACACATTTCACTGTTAGTATAACTAATTGTGACAAAGATTTTTTTAGAACTCCACTCACTGGCCTAATTCTGCTCTCTCATGGCAGCCCTGTAGGCACCTGAAACCATTACTTTACTCCCCGTTTTCTTCAGGTAAAAATCTCTTCTTCCTTCCCATTACAATGGGACTCCCTTCCTGTTACAGCCGTACTGCTATGGGCAGATCTCACCCTGTCTTAACTTGGAGTACAAAATGGTCTTAGGTCCCGCACTGTCCATCCAGCAGGGCCACTAACCTCCTCGCTCTGGACATTAGGCTACTGGCCTTTCTGTTGGCCCTGAAGCAGAAGCAGTAGGCGCCACAGCCCCTCTTCTATGACTACTGAGATGGGGAGCTCCTTGTATTTGGGACTTGTCTTTGTTGGTTTAATCCCTATGAATCCTTATCTACCTGTTAAGTTTTATGTTCTGCTTTTCAGTTGTGGAGATTAACATAAATAGTCTTAGTTCTGATCCAAAAACATCCTGCCTGCTTTCTATGTACTAAGCTTCAAATGGAACATGATCACTGCCCTTAAGGAGATGAAATGAGATGGTGGTCAACTTTGAGAAAGAGAAATGCTTAGACCATGATTCCCATATAACAATACAAATGAAGGGAAGGAAGCAAGAAAGTGGTGGGACCACCAAAGTCCAGGGAACCACCTGAGCAAAGTGACCCCATGGGCAGGCAAGCACAGGAACCTAACTTAGTTTTGTGTTACACACATCCCCTCTTGTAATGACCAAGTTGGCAGCCTAGTTCCTTAACCTACATGTAGTATGCACACTCCTTCTTTGAACAACATATCTACTAACTCAGACCCCAATGAACTCCCATCTGCATCAGGCTACACACACTCCCATTTGTGAACAATAGTGTAAGTTTCCCAGTCCCTAACGACAATCAAACTTAAGGTTTCTATTCAAGTGTACTCTTAGTACATCAAGGGATGAAGAACAGAGGGGCTGATCAGACATGACCTGGCTTTGGATGCATGTGAAGTAAGGTGGAACTTTGTCCTCTAGTGAACTGTCAGGGAGAATCTATTTACCATTTCTTATGCCTATCATAGAGCACATTTGGTGTATGTATGATTAAAATCAGATGCATAATCAAGGAGACATGCTCATTAGGAAAGATTTGAATGTGTGACCTAATCTGTCAACCAAAATAGAGAAAAACCATGCCCTTTAGTAATAAGATCTCCCTTCCTTCCTTTGGACTCCACACACAGAGACTCTATAGTGTGGTGTGAGCTACTCATTCAGCTCATTGTCAACCTTGACAGCGTCTTCCTCTATAACCTCCACTATTGCTTTGTCTCAAAGAAAGTTATTTGGCTTCTACTGCAAATCTTCGTGAGCCTTTATTTTCAATTCTTTGGATAAGAGGCCAAGAACTGAGGCTTATATGACACACATGACAGCTTATAACTACACTTAAACTGACTTCTATAGGCACTAGGCACCATGTGGTATACACACTGATAGACATAAAATAAAAATAAATACATCCTAAGTGGGGAAAAAGAGGCCCACAGTCTGATCACTGGTAAGAAGAACATGTAAAAAAACATACATATTCTTTTATAGGTAAGAGAATGCCACTGGGGAGTTGCTTACGTATCTGTCTATTGCTTCTTTAAAAAAATTAATTTTACGCATTTGGGTGTTTTTCCTGAATGTTTGTGCATCATATTTGCTTGCAGTGCTTGCAGAGGACAGAAAAGGGCACTGGATTTCGTGGAAGCACAGTTAGAGATGGTTGTAAGCCACCATGCCTGTGCTGGATACTGAGCCCAGATCCTCTGCAGGAGCAGCAAGCACTCTTAACTCCTGAGACACCTCTCCAGTCACTCAGTATTTACCAAAGAACAGACTTGAGCTACTTTTTGGTCTTGCTATTCAAACTGCCTAAGGCTTCTCCAGCCTCAGCTTCTGAAGCGCTTACCGGCATATGCCACCACACCTGGCCTGAGAGATTATTTTTAACAACATCAGGAGAACATGCTCATTTTATCATTTTTATTGTGGGGGTGTGTGTGGTATTATAGCAGGGAAACCAGGTAAAACGGTAGCACATGCCTATAATCTCAGCACTCAGGAGAAAGCTTAGCAGTTCCAGGCAAGTCACAAAGCCACCTCCCCACCCCACCTTCTATTAGTCCAAAAGGGAAACTAAGGCCTCAGGGAAAAAGGTTTCCTCCCCAAAATCTGTGTGATTGCCATTGCAATGGCATAAAAAGGTTAATTTGTTGTTTTTGCTTTTTCAGACATGGTCTCATTCTGTGGTCCAAGCTGGTCTGGGATTCAGGTAGTCTTCCTGCACCTCCCTGTACGGGGTCACAGGTCCCTGTGCTGGTGTCCTGTGACCACCAGGCCTGGATTAAGAGGGGGAGCCTTTCAGAGGTGATTAGGCCACAAGGGCTAAGTGTGTTATTTATAAACTTGACCCTCTTTTGTTCTCTTGGTTTTAGTATGTTCACCTGTCCTGTCATGTCCTAGACGAGACCCCCTCCCCAAGTTCTGGACTTCTGAGCTTCCAGTACTATGAGCTAAACAAATTTTCTTCAGTCGCAATGCACCTAGGTTGAGGCATTCTTTCATAGTAGCAGAAAGATGGACTAAGGCAGAATGGATAGGGAAAAAGATGGGTTGAGGACTAAAGTGATGAAGAATCTGGGACAGATTTAGGAGAGTGTGAGGGCTCTCCCACGGCCAATTCTTCATGCTACATACTCATCATCTAAGATGACGGCCTCAATTTCACAGAATGCTTTAAGTATCACAATCAAGTAATTACTAACAGTGTTCACTAGGCCAAGCAGAAGACAGAGATCTCAGTTTTTCAGCCGGCTCCCTTTCTGTACCTGCTTCCCATTCCACTCAGTTCTGAGCAGTTCCTCTCTGGCTCTAGTAGTCTGTAGTCATGTGCTGTTCTGAGGGTTTCAATTTACAAGAACATCAGGGAAAACTTCACTGGGCACCTTGCTGAAATTCAGATATTCTACCTCTCGCAGGGCTATCAGGAACATGAATGAGCTTATCCTAGATGGCTTACCGGAGAGCATTCGGGATATGAAGCACTAAGTATCTGACATCTCAGTGTAGCTCAGCGAACTCTGCTGACCTCTAGAGAACTATCATAAACAGGAAGGCGAGAGTTAGGAAATGCATTAAAGTTAACAGAGCCACATAAAATTATAATAACCTCAGGGTTAAAACAAGGAATATTTATATAACACAGGTCTTTTGAAAAGAACCCGTCCCAGAAGGCAAAGCAGGTCTACACTCAGTTCCAGCATGATGAGGGGATGTGGTGGTCAGCTTGAAATCTCAACTGTGACAACCTAGTGTCACTGGAGAAGAGGCTCTTAATTGAGGAACTGTCCAGCTTGGGCTGGCCTGTGTCATGTCTGTGGGAGACAGCCTTGGTGATTAATGAGGTGGGAAGACCCCGGATGTGGTAGCAGCATTTCAGTGTTGTGCCCTGAACTGTGTAAGAGTAAAGAAACCTCACAGAGGAAACAGCAGCAAGCAAGCAGCATTGGTGTGTTCGAGTCTCTGCTCTTGACCGAGGATGCGAGAATGTTCCTGCTTTTCTATAAACCTGGAATTATAAACTAAAACAAACCTTTTCTTCCCATATCATGCTGTTGATGTGTTTTTATCACAGTAACAGGAATGAAACTAGAATAGGGGCACTGCCACTATCCATGTGAAATGCTTTTCCTCCTGACTAGTGTCCTAAGCTGAAGGAGGCAAGCATCTGTACAAAGAGCAGGGACGCCCCTAACAGCTGAGGTTCTCAGTTCATTCTCATTGTGGAAGACTCCAATACCAATACAATGTGGTAGATAGGACTTTTGATACCATTTCCTACCCTCTTCACCTATTACATTGTAAGGACAACATTTCACTGAATAGAAGTCAGAAACATGGCCCAGAGATCTGCTCCTTAAAAGGGGTCTGGAGAGATAGATGGCTTAGGGGGCAAGAGCACTTGCTCATGCAGAGAGCCCAAGTTTAGTTCCTAGTATCTACATATTTGGTGGCTCACAACTATCTGTAACTTCAGTTCCAGGGGATCCAATACCTTCTGACCTACAAGGGCAATGGGCACTTATCTGGAGTACATATATACATGTAGGAAAAACATTCATATGCATGAAATAATAAATCTTTTAAAAATATTGTAAGAACCAAGCTGGAAGTACATGCCCATGATCCTAACAGGCTGGAGGCTAGGGCAAGAGAACAACAAGTTTCAGGCTAGCCTGGGCTACATAAGATCTTTTTTTGGGGGCTCTGTTATCTGTAGGGGATGCTCCAGAGTGAATACCCAGTATCAGCTTGCTTCCTCTGAGGTACAAAACCCGTCCTTTCTTGCCAATGAAGTTGATGCACTGAGTACTCTGGGACACACAGACTCAGACTTGACAATGAGAACAATCTATTAAAGAAGAGCTTTAAGATTAAAGGGGAATAAAAGCCATGCACGTAATAATGAAAAGGCAACTATATAAAAAAAAAATCTCAAATATCTCTTGTCCTAAAATTGCTAGTGAATCGGGAGGGTGGGTGGGACTGGGAGGAGACAAGGGAGGGGGCTGCAGTGGGGATACAAAGTGAATAAATTGTAATAAATAAATATATAAATAAAATTAAAAAGAAAAAATTGCTAGTGAATCATAGGAGCCATTTATTACTTATTATGTTATTGTTTTGTCTTTATATAACATT